CAGCCCCGCAGCGCCCCTCGTTCCCGCTCTAGGCCACTCTGAAGCAAGAGTTCCCGCCGTCAAGGAGAGGCAGCACAGGCGTCGCGACGCGCGGCACCCTGTCCTGGTAGGTGCTGGCCGAGGCCAGCAAGCAGAACGTAGCTTGCTTGCAGCAGGGTTGAGGTCCTGTCAAACAGTGGAAGATGGAGGCTCAAAAAAGTGGAGTAATCCAGGCAAGGGCTGCGGAAGAGACCAAACAAACTCCAGAGAGGCTTGGGGGGAGCCAGTGCTGCTTTCCTGGCACCATTCCTTTGCATCTGTCTTTCCAAGAAGGGAGGAGGAAGAAGAAGGCTTGCTCTGGAGCATTTCAGCTGATTGCGCCATCCAAGATTTGCCCCAAACAATAACAGCTGCTCCCAGGCAGCAAGTGGGGAATTTCCCTGGCTGAGATGGGGTAAGGCGTGCTCAGCATCTCCGTTCCCCCAGCACCTTCAGTGGTGGGCTCCCTAATGCTTCACACGTGCTCCTCTCCCTAGGAGAGGGGGCAGGGAAGAGTGGTGAGCTGCACAGCAGGAGGGACGGGGAGATAACCCTGCCACCTCCTCGGCCTTCAGCCCCGAGGAATCTAAAGCGCAGGCAAGACCCATGCTCTAAATTTTTACACAACCTCTCCTCCCAAGCCAGGATCTTTCCACCTTCTTTGCAAAAGAGGAAACCAAGGCACGGTAAGGCAGAGAGCTGTCAGTCATAACAGCAGAAGCAGGGATCAATAACCTGGTCTTCCAGCACCTGCCATAGACCATCTTCAGCTCCCATGCCAGACAGCTTGGCAGGACAGCAGGGGAACGGAGTGCCAGGTTGGGATCCCCCAGGGCTGGCCCTGAACGCTGGAAAAGCTCTGCAAATGGGGAATCCCCTGCCCTCCTCCCCATTTCTGTGCCTCCCTGCCAACCTCCACTGCAGGCAGTGCCAGGGCTCCTGCTCACCTGCTGCTGTGCTAGGAAGGGAGCAGGACCCGAGGGAACAGGCAGACAGGACAGGATGGGAAACACCTGCAGCCCTCACATGGCCAGGGGCCCAAAGTAATTTTCTGCCTCCCTGATGCTGCAGAGGGGGGGGGGGGGGGGGGGGGGAGGGGTGGAGTGGGTTAGATCACATGAGACCTCAAGCACCCGCAGCAAGAACAAACATTTATTTGAGTGTTAACTCTCCTCACCCCACACTTATTCTGATAGTGTTCGGGGGTGCTGGAGGATGCTCCATCCACTGTACAGTGTGAAAAGGAGTCCATCCGGCTCCTTGCCTCGGTAAGCTGGAGCCTGGAGACCCCTACAATTCAGATCCTTGGCAGTGATGGGAAATTCAGTCCTGCTGGTCTGCAGCACAGACCCTGCCAAGTAGAAATCCTAAATGAAGAGATCCCCCTCTGTAGTGCTCGTGGTGCCACCTTCCTCTGTTTGGGAAGGCAGCCCAAGGCCACCAACGTTTTGCTACAAGGGGGGCAGGGGAGAATAACGTCTCCCAAACTGGCTCTGTACCCACTGAACTGCAGGCAGACAATGTCCCAGCGGGCATCAGGGCAACAACATAGAGCAAGGAGGCGGCCCTCTGGGCCAAACTTGTCCAGCTGCTCACTCAGAACACACAACGGGCTTGCCTGAGATCTTCAGGTCATCGAAGGGCAGCAAGGCGAGGATCTGCAAAGGCCAAGGGTGCAGAGGCATAAGGATCCAGGGTCACATCTCCACCAAGCCGGGGTAGGGGCCCAGAACTGCCCAGCCAGCCCTGCAGACTCCCACCTCCCCAGGAAAGCGCCAAGAAACCATACCTGGGCTTTTCCTAGGGCCAGAGGCCAGAGGCAGCCACCCCACTGAGAGCCAGCACCAATACAGGCTCCCCAGTGGGGGAGGTTGGGATGGGCATGGCTAGGAACTCCTGTGGGGACCCAGAAAGGAGTAGGAGCTCCCCTTCATCTATGCCCCAAAGTAGCCGACTCCTGCACCCTCCGACACACTCCCAGAGCCACAAGCCTCCCCACTCGCAGACTCACATCATCGTTGCCATCAGCGAGGTCCTGGGCTGTCTCGTTCTCCATGTTCCTCAGCAGGGTGTCAGCCCCGGAGTGCGAGAGTATGGCGGCGATGGCAACATCCTTCCGGCCCACGGCCAGGTGGAGAGGGGTGCACCCGTTATACATCTGGGCGTCCACGTATGCCCCGTTGCGCAGCAGGAACTGGACAGCTCTGCGGTTGCGGCACTCCACAGCCAGGTGCAATGGGGTCTTCCCACTCGTGCCCTCCTGGAACAAGTGGATGACAAGGACGTGGGTGCAGGGTCCCCTCAGATCGGCCCCCCAGAACCCACCTGCACCCTCTTGGCTGGGTGAAAAGGAGGCAGTCCCCTGCCCTGACTGCAGTCATGCAGCCAAATCCCCCCTTGCCACTTGATAGCTCCTAAATGGCTTTCCTTTCTGCTCCCTCAAAATCTGGTGTTCCCAAGCCCCACAGCAACCCTGACGCTGCCTGGCAGTGCCAGCCCTGAGGCTAGAGGGAGTTTGCAGGACTGCTGACACAAAAGGGAGCCTGGCTGAGCAGCGCCACGGCACCGTGTCCAACGTTACCCGAACATCGATGTTGGCTCCGCTCTGCAGCAGTAGAGACATCATTTGGATATTCCCCTTCAAGGTGCTGATGTGCAGACAGGCTAGGCCTGGGGGGGAGAGACAGGAGAGAGAGCCATTGTCACTGCAGGTCATCCTGAGGCACACCATCCCCAGCCCTGAGCCCACTCTGTTACACGCCCAGATGACTGCAGATGCAATACACAGTCTCTGACCGGGACATGGCAGCTGGCCCCCCTTGCACACACACCCCACAGCTCCAGAGGCACGCCTGGCACTTGCACCCACCACCACAGGTCTGGGCTGCCCCCAGGTCTCACCTTGCCAGTTCTGGAGCTGCAGGTCCTGCTTGTGCCCACTGGGCTCGACTGTGTCGTCTGGGAGGGCTGTGCCCTGCAGCAGCTGCTGGGCGCATTGCACCCGCTGCTGCTCGCAGGCCAGGTGCAGCGGGGTGTTGCCGTTGCGGTCCTGCAGCCCAGGGTTGACTCCCTTGTGGATGAGCGCCTGGATCACGCTGGGCTGTTCCAGGTACACGGCTAAGTGGAGCGGGGTCTAGTGAGGATGTGGGGACAAAAATTAGGAAGTGGGGGATCCCCAGCAGGCCAGATAGGCTTGCTCAGCAATGCCAACCTACACGAATCACCACAGCAGTGTGGGCAGTCTGCTGCGTAGGAGCAGTTCTCTCTCCCACGGTTAAGTGTGGCTGTTGCAGAGAGGCTGCAAAAGGTTTACTGCCCCTTGTAAAGCCTGCCCAGCTGCTCCTCGCACCTCAGCTCAGGGATCAGCCATGCAGGTTGGTGAGCCCAACAGGTAGGTCTTTCTGTCCTAGGTTATTTACTCTACCACGGTCACGCTATGGCTGCTCCACCCTCTGGAGACATCCGCAATGTCCCAGGGCCCTGGCTGTCTGACACCTGCCCAGGTGTATGTGGTAAGGGGTCTGCATGGGCACTCCTTTCGCCCTGTGGTGCTGGGAGCTGTCATCCCCCTCTCAAGATGGGATCCCACACCCTTCTCCCCCTCCCCAAAAAGAGACTGCTCACATAGGACCTTCACCAAGCTCTGGAGGAAGGGGGGTAGGGAAGCCTTGGGGAAAGGAAAGACAGATTTGGCACCCATTCAGGGAGCTGCCTGTGGCACCTGCCTTCTTTCCTCATCACATCTGCCTACCTGGAAAAGGTCATTTTGGATCTCCAGCACCTCTCTGGGCAGCTGAGCAATGCAGCAGAGAGCCACATCTGGGACACAGTGGATAATGGCCAGATGAACCAACCTACAGAGGGGATAAAGGGATGGGGGAAGGGGAAAAAAAAATCCAATAGGGATGAGTGTCATGATCAAGAGCAGAAAGCCTCCAGTGCTGCATGGAGAAATAATCTCCCCACCTTCCCCCAAGTCATCTTCCCTCCCCCCAATTCAGAGCTCTGCAATTTTGCCCTCTCTCAGTAGCAAGACAGAAAGGCAGCCTGAGGTTCCCCTGGGCAGACCTTCAGCCTCAACGTCACAGCGGGATGGGACTCTTCTGTCCCCTCTGAGCAGCTAAAGGGTCCTCCCTTGACCTCACGACATACACAGGACTCAAACCCAGCCCTCCAACCCGAGGAGGTCCGACGAGCCCGGGATCTGTTTTGCAGAGCCCATGGGCTGGGCTTGGCTGCCGCCGAGGGAACCGGAGGCTTGGACTCTGGCAGCTGCCAGGGGAATTCCACTTCCCCTGTCGCCGGCCTGCTACGCACCACACTTCTGCTTTCCCCTCTGCAAAGGCGGGCAGCAAAAGCTGGGCAGGAGCCCGGCAGCGCTCCAAGATCACCTGCACGCCGCAGTCCCCGTGCCAAGCTATCTGCCAGTCCACACCAATTTCCTCTCCTCCACATCCTTCCCTTTTGGCCCTGCCACAGCAAGGCTGCCACACAGCGTGCCAGAGCAGAGGGACATGCACAGAACTAGACAGCCTCAGTGTATTCGACAGAGCCGGGTGGCCGGCAGAGAGCTCCTTTCCTCCGGACATGCCATTCATGGCTGTTTGGCGGTCCCAGAGCCTGGGGTCTCACTGCCCAAGGACAGGTTTCATTTCCAGCCTACCCTTCCCCTCCTCTGCCCCGCCACAAGGCCCATGAGTGAGAGCCTACCAACGGCGCTTGTGCGAGTTTCACGCCGGCCCTTGCTGTCCTCGGCGCAGTCAGAACAGAAGCGAGAGAGACAGAAGCGAGCCGGGAGGGAATTTCCAGCCTTGCACCGTTAACCTGCTGAGCTCCAGCCCGCCAGCAAGCAGCCCTGCGCTTCTGCTCCCCAGCCTCCCTCCTGCCAGAGAGGGTCTCGGCCCCCTTTCGGCAGGCAGCACCCCCAGGGCCTGCACCGAAAGGCAACCCGATGGCAGGCCTCTGCCTCCCCTCTCCCAGGCTGCAGGCTGAGCTCACAAACACGCGCAGGTGAGGGGCACCAACGAGAACGAGTGGGTGTCAGCTCCTGCTCTGCAAGCTCATGACAAGAGATGAGCCTCGTACTGCCTCCTCACCGTGCTCGGGCCCTGTGGTCGCTTTTATCTCTGGCAGGGATCAGCTCCAACCAAAGGCCGAGCTCTAACTGAGCTCGTGCCGCCCACGCTGCTTGGTGGAGGCAAGCAGGGTCGAGGGATGAAGAGCGAGAGCTCTGTCAGCCTCAGCAGCCATGGCCAGACACCCCAACCCCGGGTTTTCCCAAGAACAGGGTGCCACCTGCACCTGTGAGGGAGCAGCCGGCATCCCTCTACACATAAAAAAAGCAGTACACGGCCCTAAAGGACTGCAGCAAAGAAGGTGAAGTCAGCCTAGGGACTGCCTTTAGCCAGCTGCAGGGGAAGGACATGGATTCGCTGAGCAGCCCAAGAGCTAGCTCCTCCAAAAGTGCTTTATCTGCGTGACACACACTCCCCAGCACGGGCTCCGCTCTTTGTCTGGTTGCCGCCTGACAAGGAAATGCAGCATGTGGAAAAACAGGAGCAATTGCTCCCGGGGCAAGATAAAGCGGGCACCCCACAGGTCGCTAGCCCAGAGCCTCCCCACAACAGGGCAAGGGGGAGGGCTGCAGGGCAAGGATACACGAGGTGAAGGGACAGGAGGGCCATATGGCCCTCGAAGGCTGCCGAGAGGTAGAAGGGCTACAGTGCTACCTCCTCCAAAGCCCTGCCCAAGGTCGAGCCAGCACCTGGGACCCCAGAGACCCTCAGCCAAGTCCCCTTTTTGGCAGCAAAGCAAACGGGTTCCTCTTTGCCCTGCCGCCCAGGGGAGAGGCTGCGCCTGAAAGGCTGTGTCCCTGGGGAAGCCCCAGGTCATGCAGAGGCAGGGAATTCCCCGCTGGAAGGAGAGGCCACCCACGCTTGCCTCCGCAATGCCATGGGGTGCCCCCATTGCTGCTAGCGCTCCCAGGGGCAGGGGGCCTGCGAGATAAGACAGAGGCCTGGCTAAGGAGCCACACGGACAGGAGGCAGCATCCTTCGGTGGGCATGGGGCAGGGGCCAAGCCTGAAGGCTGGGCTGGCGGAGGGCCGTGGGGCAGGAGCAAGGAGGAAGAAGGGCGCCAGGAGCCAGGCTAGCAGGGGCTGCGGGGCAGGGGCAGAGGCGGGGGGGCAGCTGCAAAACTCACATGGCGGCACAGCCCTCCCCCAACGCTCTCGCGCTTTTCCTAGCCCTAGTAAATCAGGGCAGGGAGATTCCCTAGCGGGTTTTTGATCAGACAAGGCTGTGGCACCTGTGTTCTTTGCTCATTTTCAGGAATAGCCCTTGTTCTTCCAAACCCACTCCTAGGCGCCACGTGTGGAGGAAGCTGCAGGATATGCCTTTTTTTTTTCAGGTATAGGACAGATAAGACTGTTCAGGCAAGGGACTTTCCAAGGCAATTCAGGCTGAACTTTAAGCCTCTGCTGCTTTCACTTTCCAGAGCCAAACTTGGCTCCTGGGGGGACAGAGCTGCACTAAGCGAGAGTGTACGCCGGGGTCGCACCGCGCTGCAGTCAGCCTCCACACCTCCATCCTCCCCAGGAATCCCCCGGTCCCTTCAGCGGCTCCCCACGTCATGCCCACACTGTCACATGGGGCAGGTGGAGCAGTCACACGTGCAAGGTGGAAACCCCAGGCAGCCTCTCCACCACCAGCACCTCACTCTTCCTGGCTTTGGTGGCTCTGCAGTTCAACAAAGTGGCTGAGTGCCAGGAGAGCTGGGCTCAGCTCCCAGAGTTGAAGCTGAGGACTAGCAAGTTTGGACATCTATGCTGCAGAAACATTAGAAGTTATACGATCAGTGGCTTTTCCCATCCAGGCAGAGCTCAGGCTTTCACCTTGAAGCTGGGATATGCCTGCTTCAAAGGACTGGCTCCCCCCTCTGTCCCCCCACTTCCTTCACCACCCAGGCACAGCCTCCTCCTGTGCTCTCATTTCCGCATTAGTTCCCCTCTTTCCTTGTTGCCAGGCCTTGACTTCCTGAAACGGGTGCAAGAGCCATGAGCTACTTAGGGGAATCACAGAGCAGCCACCAGGGTGGGATGAGCCCATCATGCGTGTGCGTGCACAGGGAGAGGGACTCTTTGCCATGGATAGATGCATTACAGTGACACAAGCCAGGAATTCGGACCGTCTCTTGCTAACCTGGAAACCTCCTAACGCCAAGAGACACAAGGCACAGACAGCATGTGAATCCCTGCTTTATTCCAGCCAAGGCTAAAAGCACAACTCCCATTTCAGCACAGCAGCCACAAGGCCAGGCCATTGGCAGACTGCTACCTGCTGGCATGCAGCGCTCTCAGCTGAGCCACAAATCCAGAGGAGCAGTGATGGAGAGATCTCCACCTGCTGCTAGACACCTCTCCTCATCCAGCCCCAGCCCCATGCCTTTGCCAGAAGCAGCCCTCTCCTTGCCACGCGCCATGCTCGGACCTTTGCCCTTCCTTCAGCTGCCCGCATGCTTCTCTTCTGCCTTGCACCACTTCCCTGCTCGCTCCCTCCCCATGCTCATGCCTGCAGCCACAGCGGGAGGGCAGCGGGGACTTGAGTTTTGGAAAGGGCAACGGAGAGAGAAGTTGTGGCAGGGGAAGCAAGCATGGCCAGCCTAGGAGTAGACTGCTGGGTTCGTTCTCAGCTTCTCCGCTCGCTCACTAGCTCCATCCTGGGACAAGGGGACTCTTCAGTGCTCTGAATTGCAAAGGCCCATGGGTAGAGAGCAGCCACAGTAGAGGGTGACCTACACATCGTCAGAGATATCCACGATCCTGGAGCAAAGGGCTCAGAGCTGTCTCTGGGGGTGAACATGGTCCCAGGTCTGAACATGCAACACTGACAGGCCCAAGGTAGTCCTGGAGGAGGCACAGCCCATTTCTACAGTGCTGACCAACTCCCAGGCTTGCAAGTGACCTGACGTGCCTGGTAGGAAAAGCGTTCGTGTCTGCTGAGGGTGTCTGCAACTAAAGGCAAGGAGAACGGACGGGTTAAGGGTGATGCTCAGATCTGACACACAAGCAGAACTGATGAAGTCCCTTCAGCTCCCCCAGGTAATCTTTTCCAGAGGGAGGGAAAAGGGAATGACCGTGGAGATTCCCCCATCCACAAGGCAAGGACCCTTGTCCTCAGAGCAGCTTCTCCCTTCACCAACTCATCCTAGAAGTATCTAGGACAAGGGATCAAGCATCCAACAGGATTTGCTCTGACAAATTTCTCTGCCTCTCCAGATAAGCTCCCTGTCCACAGACCATAGAGGGAAGTATTTGCTCCTCCTGGCTCCTCACTTTCTCTAAGCAGATGGGTAGGAAACCGTGCAAACAGTTCACACTTAACAAGAGAACAACAGTTAACAAGAGAAACTTGTTAACAGGAGGAAATGGCATCAGCAGCAATACAGAGGAGAGATAGCAGAGAGGAAAACAGCAGGGGAATTCCACACTGATCCTGGTCTCCTGTTTCAGCCCTTTAACCTGCCCTGCTAACCACTTCCTTGGAGACCTGCATGAACCTTTGCCAAAAGGCTCAGAAAACACAGCATTGTCCTGCCCTGCATCCCCCTGCTAGCCCTGCCCTGGGCTCCCTTCCATCCCCCCTCCCACCCCCCCCCCCCCCCCCCCCCCCCCCCATGCAAATACAATTCTGTCCTGCTCTGTTAAAACTGTTCCAACTTCCCTCTGACAGCAACTGAGGAAGCAACTGATCCCAGCCCGCTGTAGCCTTATCCCTGTGCTCTCTGCTCCTGCCCTGGGTCTCCCATATGCACTTCTGCAGGTTCCTTCTCTCCTCCCCAGGAGGGGCACAGCTGTGATTTGAGGGGGGCTGGAGGAGGCCATGGCTAGCAGGAAGCAAAGCCCCGTCAGACAGAGCACAGAGGAATTGCTCCCTGGTGAGTGCTTCAATTTTTCTGTCTTCAGAGACCTCACTGAAAACTACCTGAAGCTCCCTCGCTCCTCTGGGGAGCACTGCGGGAAAGGCAGGTGGGGAAAGGTAGTGAGGTAGAAAGAGGGGGTCCAAGTGTCCCTGATCTCCAGCCTGGGCAGCCTCACTGTCTCCCAGCCTGCTGCTTCTGGAGGTAAAGGGAGGGTTGGGAAGAGATCAACAGAGAGAGGAGACAGCCTCCCCCTTCCTATGTCACCCTGCAGAAGGTCTGTTTTGGGTGCTGGCAGATGAGGGCAGACGAGAGCTACAGGGGGCTGACTGGCAGGAGAGGCACTGAGAAAGGGCAGTGGGCACCTCGTTTTTCAGACACCCACCCAGGTGGGGGAGGCAGAGGTGGAAGAAACAAAGGTGGCTCGTGACTCACCCACGTACTGCAGCCCCTACCTCACAGCCTCTGGACTCTGCACCCACGTTTGAGCACTTCGAGCAGATGGTGGGCCCCAGATCACAGCAACACTAAACATCAGGTGCACTTGGACTACCCTCTTCAAAACAAGGGGTCTGTCCTGCAGAACAGTCACCAGAGGGATGAGGCAAGCCAGAAAGCAGGTCAGCCCAGCCCAGCCCAGGAGGATGGAACTAGTTTCATGGACATAGGCTGAGAAGAGAGATGAAGGATTGCAGTAAAACCAGGAAACAACCTGAAAGGTTTGCTGGCTGACACCACAGACCAGATTCTCCTTTTTACTCATCAAGGAGCAAAAACACCCTCCTACAGTTTCCGTACACACAGGTATCTTCAGGTCAGAACAGCCTCTTCTGAGAGGACAGTGCCTGGACTTTGCCAGAGCCTGCACAACACACCCTAACAATCATTTACAGCCGTGCATATGTATCCTCTCTGCCACAGAGTTTTCTTTTAATGAGGCACAAACTTTGGGTCTAGGATCTCGCAGGGCCCCCTCTTCAGCCCTGCAGTTGCTCTAAGCAGTGGGACTTCCCGTCTCTGGGAAGCGGAGACCATCCCACATAGCTCACTGAAAGGAGCACAGTAACTGCTCTCACAGCTCAGACCCCACATCCTCTCTTCCTACACAGTCAAGTCTGACTCCTCTTTTATCCGCATGGGATTAATAAAAGGCAACAACAACAACAAAATCAAACCTTCCTTCATTAATTCAGCTGAACTCAGCAACCAAGCTTGCCTGCAGAGTGCAAGCGCCCAAAGCCCTACCATCTCAAGCGATCTATTATAACCAGGCAACGGGCTTCTGCAACCTAGGGCATGGAAATTTCCAGGCATTCTTTCCTTTTCTTTGTGCCGAAGTTCCCTGTGTCTCTCCCTAGCTCCAAGGTAAATCTTTGCAGGCGGAAAGTCTGAAGAAACTTCCTAGAGGCCAGACTGAAGTCACTAGAACAAGGGAAAAATCCCTACCTCAGAGGACCAATCCCTACCTAAGAGGACTTACCCATGTCACATCAAGTGTTGTGCCTGTGTGTAACCCTGCAGCATGCAGGAATTTCTGGGGTCTGGGGAAAACTCAGGTAGGAAGTTACAGACAGGCATCCTAAAGGAGCCTTGCCCAGAGCAGCCTGCACTCACTTTAAGGGGCTCCAAGGCCTTCCCTGCTAACCCAAGTCCTGACATGCACAGAGCAAGAGCCAACAGTCCGGGCAAAGGGAGCTGGGCACAGCAGATCTCCTCCCTCCAGCCAGCCACATGTTAAGCCTCATTTTCTTCTCTCCTCCACAATGGCAATGCGCTAAGAAGCAAACAGGGACAGACTTGAACTCTCTCGGCACGTGAAAGGGATAAGGAGCTTTCCAAAGCCCCTAAGAAAAAAACAAGAGCAGCAAAACAAGGGTTTCCAAATCTGTCCGAGCCACGTTCCATCAACCTCATTTGCACTGAGCAGCTCTCCGGAGATCAGTTACTCATAGAAAAAGGTCCTGCCTAACATAAAGAAAGCAGAACCTGGCCCACAGAGGGGAGAGACCACGCTGGGTCCCATGAGGGCCATTCCCTGAGATAAGGGCTTCCTTGTCCGCATGCCTGCTCACATCTGGCACAAAGTCTGTGCCTCTGAAATGGCACCACTGGTATCCTGTATGACCAGTCCAGAGTATATGGGGCAGCAGGGGGAACGTGAAGCCAGCCGAGCGCCCAGGCATTGGCACACGTGACCCGCAGCCTCTGATACAGAGGCACCTCCTCAAAGCATGAGGCAATCACACAGCACATCTGACAGAAGGGCCACGTGCCTATTAATCAAAGGCAAAGCGGAGAGACTCAGCCTGTGAGAATGCAGGCCGTTAGGCATGGAAAGGCCCTATGAGACCATCCAGTTCCACTGCAGGATGCCAGTCCCCAGTTCCCATTAACTATGGCCATCCCACTGCTGGGCAGCCAGCAACAAGCCAGCATAGCTCAGCAGAGGGACTCCCAGCCCTACTAGAAACAAGGAGGTATGCTCTCTGCGCTGGACTTCTTTAATCCTTCCCCTAAAACTGTGTCCCTCCAGTCCTCTGCTCTTTTCTTTGACAGTAGTTTCTCTTCTCTGCTCTCACAAGTTGAGTCTTCCCCCAAGCCTGCAACCCCTGCTGCAAGCGTGCACGCTGGGATCCAGATGGTTCAGAGCATTCAGCAACACCTGTATTCAGCAGAGCAGCCCCTGAGCAAGCAGGAACACAGGAGCAGACAGTCTGAATGGGGCTCTGATCTCTAGAGCAGGGCCACACGAGATGGGACAGTTAAGGCTGGCACATGCTGGTCAGTTGTTAAAAGGGGCTCTTGGCCCTACAAGATGAGGCTTGATACTTGATAGCTGCCCAAGTAGGCAAGGGCTCAGTGGGAAAGATCCCCTTCACTACCACAGCTGCCACGTACCATCACTTGGAGGAAAGCCCAGAACACCAGCTCTTGCGGGGACCCAAATTTACTTAATTAACTCTCCCCGAACCCTTGTTAATGCATTTCAGCACACAAGTCACCAGCACGTGATTTCTTATCAGCAGACACGGCAGCACTTGTCTCTAGTGGAAGGAGGAAGTCAGGCTTCCTCTGCCACCCTCCTTCTCTGAGACACTACCCACCCCCTACACACACGCGCCTGACCAAAACTGCTCTGTCCCATTTTCCATCTGAAGGACGATGAGATCTTTCTTCTCTGATTTGAGCTGGGGACCCCTGACCTTCACCTCCACAGAGAAGCCATGCTGCTTTGCCTAGAGAGCTCCGTGCAGAAAACCACCACCCTTTTGCAGAGGCATAGCACCAAGCCTTGCGCAGCACATCGCGGCCGACTGGCTCAGAGCAAGACTATGTGTGCTGACATGCCTTGTCTACACCGTGCCTAGCTGCCCGCTGCCGGGGAGCCCATCACCGTGGCATCAGGTACTGATGACAAACTGGCGCGTGGCCCAAGGACCAAGACGGCAAGAAAGGGAAACATGTTTAAGACAGAACATATAGTTCTAGAGAGAGGAAGCTCAACCTAATTTCCCACACTGATAAATCAGCTCTGTCTCTCTAGAGCTGCCAGAGGCTGCCAGAAGCCCTAGCAAACGGAGAGGTTTTCCCTAGTGTTGGAATGCAACGGACAATGCTGTCACATCCCATCCCGCCCTGCAGGAGCTGGTCCCACACCCACCCCTTTCCCAGGACACCGCAGCTCTCGTGCCTGGCGAGGCCAGCAACAAGGGGGTTTCCTCGGTGACTCCTAACAAAGGTTGAGTTTGTTTGGAGGCCAGGGCACAACCATAACAAACTGCGGCCTGCCCAGAGTTAGCCATTCCTGCAGCTGGAAAGCCCCTCTCTTCACTTCCATGCAAAGCAATCCCATTGGGATTCAATTCAGCAGAAAAGGAGCTGCTTCAAAAGGAAGAGATGGATGCTTGGAGGAGGGAGCTTGAGCTTGAGGGCAAGGGAGCAGCCTTCTGGCAGGGCTTGCTCTCTACCCTGCCATGGAATAACCAGGGTATTGCTGCCCTAAGTGCATCCGCCATCCTCTGCCTGTCGCTTCGGGTTTCCTCCCATTCCTTGACCTCTCCTGCTATTGCAGCTCTGCTGATCCTGCTCCAAGGCTGATGTGCCATTGCCCAATTACTACAGCTCTGACTTCCTCAAGGCAGGGACTACCAGTTGCGCAGGGAAAGGGTGGTTGGGTTTGAGGTTTTAGCAAATGATTATTGGAAGACGTCTGCTCAGACAGAGGTACCCACACATTTCACTGGCCATTACACCCACGTCTCCTGTGTTAGCTAATTTCCTTCCTACATAACCAGGCCCCTCTAATTTTGAAGGAGGGGACAGTCTGTTTTAGCCCCATTGCTTCACCCTGCCTCGATGAATGTACTTCTGCGGAGGTGGCAGGAAGTAATCCAAGGAAGATCCTGCTGAGACTTTAACTATCTGAGCACTTGCTTCTCCCCTCTGCAGTCACCCTGTATACTTCTGCCATACGGGCCACACTGAGAAACACACCTCAAGGGGGCGCAGGTAGGCAAGCCTGGGGAAGCTGTGCAGGTTGGAAGGGTAGGGCAGACGGGCAGCCAATACTTTCATCCGCTCCTTTTGTGCGAGTGTTGCTCCTCCGGGTACCAGCAGGGACAGCTGGGGAAACAGGAACTATTTGACTAAAGCCCTGAACTTTTTGTATTTTCAGAATTACAATGATTACAAGGAAGTGTTATCGCCCAAGTCTGCTGAAAAAATAATGATACTATGATTCTAAGTCTTGTCTTGGATCTGTCTTGTGGCAGATGTTCAAGCAAGATACACAAGATAAAGCGCAGCTGACCAAGATGAAAAGAAGTTGTCAGGTCCGCCTTGCTAGATGAAAAGGAAGCGGCCTATGGCCATCTGATCCCTTTTCTCTGGACCCCCAATCACTTGATGAGTGATTTTTCCTCAGACTTTAGCATTGCTATTAACCACAGTCTGTTTTTGCATAGAAAAGTAGTGGCAGTTCAGGGAGATGTTGGACGCTCACAGTCCTACTTGCATCGAGTGGAGCGGCAGACATTCAGCATTTCTAAATATAAATGCCACCTACCTCTCCCACAGGGTCAGGAGACAAGTCAGGAATAGAAGAGGCAGAAGTCCACAACCTCACCACTCTGACCACAAGAATATGTTCTTTTCCCAGCACTGGGAGCAGATCTCAGGAAAGCAGACTCCCTGCACTGACCTCCCTAGCCCCAAGTTGTACAAAATGCACTAAGAGCAGACTTTTCACTCCCTCCTTCGCTCTTTACCGATTTCCTGTTCTAAACTGTGCTGGGCATGAAAGAAAACAGAAGAGCAACTGCAACCACTTGGAAAGCTCTCTGAAAGCCTCTCCTGCCTAGAGTAACTAAGGCAGCGCCAATTAATGTTTCCCTAGTTAATTAGACGCTTGCGTGATGTTCTGGCCAAGCAAGTCTGACAAGCAATGGGTTCAGCCACCTTGCGAGACAGACTCAAACAGGAAAAGCATCTCCAGACAGCTGCATCTACTGGGCTCACTAGAGACTGGTGAGCCTTGGCACAGCACAACATAACGGGACCGAGGGGGCTTTCCTGCAGCATTACTTCCACCGGTCTGATTAAGACCTGTGGTTCTCTCTGTGGGCACATTGGCTCTGGAGTTACAGCTGTGTAAGCTGGCGAATTTTCCCACGCGGAGGAGCTGCAAAGCCAGCAGATAGATAGGACAGCAGTAGGAAGCTATCCAAGCGCCCCACCGGGGAGCGTGGGAAGCTGCGTTTAGTCTAACTTTGCTTGCTGTGAGGCTTCCAACCAATCTTCCGAGCGGATCCCACAGTGAACATTAATGAACTAATTAGCAGATGTACAGGTTCCTCGCTAACCAGGAAGTAAACACTTGGGCTTGCTCCCATCTCATCTTCAGCCTCAGAGACAAATGTGCTCTGAGGTGAGGACAGAGTCTCCTTGCAGCTCCTGTTTAAGCCTACTGCGTGGACACTACTAATTCATCTGTCTTGCTGGTGTTAGTGCCTCTTAGTTTCTCTTCCTCTTGCACCATTACTCAGTATTCAACTCTGGCCTGGGTTTGGGTCAAAGCTTTGCGTTTCTCAGCTGCAAGCGCGCTTCACTCATACTCTGCCCTCATTTATGATGAAAATCTTCCGTTGAGGGAACGTACAACAGGAAAGAGACATGATTAGCTGAATGCAGTTACCAGAAGCCAACCCAGATACCTCCAATATGATGTCTCTGCCCTCAAGAGGGCATTACGAACGTGGGAAGCCCCCCTCATCAACAGAAACAGGTTCTCTCCATCACAGAGACTCAGAAGGGCTTCCCCTCGGCAGAGCGTGGGCCACAAATTTGCAGAGAGCTGTCCCTCAGCTGGTGGGTAGGCAAAGCAAGATGATTTTGACCAGAGAACAAGTAGTTCACAGGTTGCTCAGCTGAGCAGCATCTGTGGGAGGCCCACCAGGTCTTGCCCTGCATAGCTGATCTTGTTTTGGGTCTTGCTCACATGCCGTCTCATACAGAGAAGCCAGGTCCATTGGTGATGAAGTTTTGCATCCTCCAGGGAAGGGGGGGCAGGGTGATTTGCTCTCACACCACCATCCAGCTGCTAGTGGCCCCATAGCAAGTGGAAATTGGTTTCCTGCAGTGGGTCCATTCTGTGCCATGCTCAGAGGAGCAGGGTTGCCTATCCCTGCTTGCCCTGCCAGACCTGCCTTGGATCACTTGTTGGTTACCCACCCAAATCTACGTCATGGAGCCAAGCATCTGTGCGTGAGCTGCAACTGGAGGCTCTAGGACAGGGGATCAGGGAGTCTTCCACAAACTGACCGGCTGGCTGTTCCTCGGGAGAAACTAGCGGCTGGGGGCCACTACAGATAAAGACCTCCTTATCTCTGCGGCACCGGCTCCCAGCTAGCAGCCGAGGGGGCCAAGCCCAGGGCTGGCGGGGGATGGAGGGGCAGGAGAGCAGCGGTGCAGAGGCACCTG